TGTAGGGGCAGTGGCCGGCGCGATGCCGCAGCGAGGAGTGCCGTCGCTGCAGGACAGGGTGCGTGAGCTCGAGCGCGAGATGCACAGTCGTCCGTGCGTCGCGCCGGACCCCGCGGCAGACGCCGAGGCCGCGCTGAAGAACGTCGACAGCGCCATCATACACAGCCACGTGCAGCAACTCAACGACACGATCGGTGAGCAGAAACACCGCGTGAGCACGTGCAGAGAAATACGCACGGACACACTCACGCACGCACACACATATATATGCACACATGCACGTGCATCCACACGCATGCACATGCACGTGCATCCACACGCATGCACATGCACGTGCATTCACACGCATGCACATGCACGTGCATCCGCACACACATATATGCACGCATGCACATGCACATGCATCCACACGCATGCACATGCACGTGCATCCACACGCATGCACATGCACGTGCATCCACACGCATGCACATGCATGTGCATCCACACACATGCACATGCACGTGCATCCGCACGCACGCACACACATATATGCACGCATGCACATGCATCCACACGCATGCACATGCATGTGCATCTGCACGCACGCACACGCACACGCTCATGTGGCAGTTGAACATCATGTTCTACAATAGATAAGATAGAAGAACTAGGATAGAAGTAGCGTGACATAACTGTGATGCTGCGTGTGGTGGCTCTTTTGCCATTATAACTGGGGCATGCAGTTAGTCGATCTGTGTCTGGTTCTTCAGGCAAGCTGAGAGGTGAGAAGGTGCATCAGACGGCTCAGCTGAGGAAGCAGCAAGTTCGCATTGCCCACCTGGAGTCGCAGGTTCAGCAGCTGGAGCATCTCGTAAGTCATTCACCTCACGTCAACGCGCGTGGCCAGGGGACTACAAACCATATTTTTGCTAGAGCTGTGTCGCGTCCTGTGTCCCGTGAAGATTTGAAAGGGGAGGGATGCGTCGGGTAGTATTGTTGCAGGGACCGGTGCAGACACAGAGGCCGTGGACATCACCTCTCGTTGTCTCCACGCAAAAGCCAGATAGCAGAGATGCCAACCACTACGATTTATCCGTATTTTATGCGAATTTCGTTTGCATTTTGACCACTACGACCAGTTTGCATACAACTACGATTTTTATTACGATCGAAAAAAAATATTTTTTATGATATTTCAAGTGTTTTGTTTCAGTGTTTCATTGATATAACATGATTGAAAATAACTACATGTATTTATCAGCAAATATCAGTGTGAACTTATTGTAATTTTGGGTCCCAGAATGCAGGAAATTGCATCTCGGAATCAAAAATTTCCTGGGGGGGCATGCCCCGAACCCTCCTAGCATACTCGGCTCACTGCGTGACCCTCGGACTACAGATTTCAGACATCCTCACTACAGTTGAACTCAGAAAAGTGTTGGCATCTCTGAGATAGGATACGACTCTGATAAATATCATCTGCTCATGCTCAGAAGAGCAAGATTCGCTAGCAATGCATCTGATGCTCCTTCATATATACGGTCAAGCCTGTGTATAAGGGTCACCGTGGCGAAATGCGAAACGCGTCCCCTATAGACAGGTAGTCGCTTTATAGAAGTGGTTTCATTGCATGACTGCAGACCTGCCAAGGGTGTTCAACCAGTTTGCTGGAGGTTCAGTGAGATTTTGCTGAAGAATGGGTCATTTTGGGAATATAATGCTGGCGGTTCAGAATATTTTCAAACACGACCAGTTTCTGAATATTTGGCTTTAAAATATGTATTTGCAGTACATATATTCTGTTAGCATTCGAAGAAAAGATGACAAAATTAAATTGTAAGGCATAAAAACTGTGCATAAACTCTGAAGCGTTACATACAGTTTTTTTTTTTGCGTGAATGCGTGAGAATGCCTAGGGCATGCGGGAGTGCGGGAGAATGGGTCCAGATGCGTGAGACTTGGTAGGTCTCAGGGAAAAAAATGTAAAATTTATTTTTCGGGGGCTACTTTTCAAGCCCGCGTGCATGAAAATAGCACTCTAAAATTTGGTTTGCATTGAACTCTATGCAAATTTCCGGGGGCTCTTTTGGGCATTTCCGGGGCTCTTTTTGGCATTTCGGGGTCTAAATCGCCCCGAGCCCCCGTGTATTTTTTTCACTGGTAGGTCTGTAACTGTCACTCGAGAGGGAAACACCAAACGTGATCCGTATAGACAGATGTCCATTCTATGGCGGTCGCTGCTGACACAGATTTGAGCGTATCTAAAAGGCCCACGCTCTCACTCTGTCCCACGATAACGAATGCAGACACTATTGCGTCCATCGTCTCACGTCTTCCTCCTCTCCTCTCTCTATTTTCTGCTCTCTCTCTCACTCTCTCTCACTCTCTTCTCACATCTCTCTGTCTCTTCACTCTCTCTCACTCTCTCTTCTTCTCTCTCTCCTCTCTCTCTCTCTGTCGCTCTCTCTCTCTCGCTCTCTCTCACTCTCTCTCACTCTCTCTCACTCTCTCCTTCTCGTGCGTGTAGCCGCGTGAGAGCCAGGTGGAGATCGATCAGCTGAGACATCTCATGTCTTCCGCCTCTCTCTCTCTCTCTCTTCTCTGGTCTCTCTCTCCTCTCTCTCCTCTCCCTCATCTCTCTTCCTCTTTCTCTCCCTCTCTCTCTCTCTCTCTCTCGCTCTCTCTCTCTCTTCTCCTCTCTCTCTCCCTCTCGCTCGTCTCTCTCTCGGTTTTCCTCTCTCTCTCTCTCACTACGCTCTCTCTTCCTCGCTTCCTCTCTTCTCCACATCTCTCTTCTCTCTCTCTCTCTCTCTTCTCGCTCCCTCCCTCCCTCCCTTTCCCTCTTCTCTCTCTCTTCTCTCTCTCTCTCTCTCTCTCTCTCTCTCTCTCTCTCTCTCTCTCTCTCTCTCTCTCTCTCTCTCTCTCACTCTCTCTTTCTCGTGCATGCAGCCGCGTGAGAGCCAGGTGGAGATCGATCAGCTGAGACCACCGGCTGCGGGCGGCGGACGAACAGCACACGCAGGAGCAGTCGTCCGCTGCGCCACCGCGCGGACACCGCCGAGGCGTGGCTCGCGGAGGCGCGCAAGGAGGCCGAGGCCTACCATCGCAGCCTGCTGGAGAGCAACGGAAAAGTAGTCGCGCTAGAGAAGGAGGTGCGTGCATGTGTGGATGTCTCTCCGTTTGTTTATATTAAGTGGCGTGTGCTGCTTGTTTATGTTTGATTTGCACGTGCGGTTATTAGTGTGTGATTCTCTGTGTTTGCACCTCTATATGTATTTACTTTCTAAGAAAACAAAGGACAACGTTCCGTTGCAAATTATAATTTACTTCATACGTGTATTATAGGCGAGGTGAATACGTGAAAGAGCAGGGGAGCTGGAATAACCTAGGATTCCAAAGCCAGTTACCCTATTGGCTTTTAGTATGATGTATACGTTTGTAATTGCAGTTAGGATTATCGATGCATTTAGAGCATAATTCGGGAGCATGGTTTTCTCAAACGTTAGAATGTGCTTCTAGGTATTCAACTTAAAAATGAATCTATCGAACAAAATGCCATCGTGCAACTTCGGAGCTCAGGAGCTGGTGATACAGCAGCTACAGGACGAGCTAGGGTGCCTCAGAACCATGCATGCCTCTCTCCCAGTGACGATGGCGCCATCTGTAGTGCCTCCAAGTGAAAACAGGTAAATTTTAAAGGAATGTTGGAACATAATCAATTTCAACGCGTCAAAAGAAACTATTTTTTTTTATAATTTCTCACAGTTATGTGCTTGAATCTTGGTTTTATCATATGTCACTTGGGTGTATTATTGTTACTATTAGAATAGTGTGTGATTGTATGTATGTAAGATCATCTTTGTATATGGTTGCACTATCAATTGCAGAAAAGGAGGCGATCGATCTTCTAATAACGTGTAGTTAGTGGCGGATGTACAAGACCTTCTGTCAGTATTATGCTCCCATGAAGTTAAGAGTGGGAAATCTGGAAAATATCATAGCTTACACCTGATTAACCTCAATTCGTTGTCCTTGCCTTTAAGCTCTGTAGAAGCGATAAGCAGGAAACTGAAGCTAGCGTTAGAACAAATCCAACTGCTGTCAATGGAAAGAGACAAGCTTCTGGAAATGGGAAACAGACTAAGGTCAGAGTTGTACACATTGAAAGGTATGGCAATCTCACTCACTTTCATTATAGGCTTTCATATTTGAATGTTATTGATGATGATATACTGTGAGCTTTACCAGAGGTGTATGGTATTTTACATTTCCTGTTGGAGGTAAATAGGAATAAAGACATTCACTGAATACTGCAGCAAACCCAATGTTGATTCAGTTATGATGCTTCAGCTTGTATTAAACTTATGTGAATAAACAGCCTTGATTAACACATTGCATTTATGTCATATTTTATACAGTAAGTATTTCTGTTACATTTTATGCCTAATTTTTCCCTTGTATATTTTTACACGATCACCTATAGAAGAAAGAGTGGTAGATAAGGCAGACAAAGCTGCAAACACTGTGCTCAGCTCGATTGAACCACGAGGCTACACCCAAACCAAACAGGTATGCTGACTTCATAATTATTACGTCTTACTTTACAGCTGATTCTTTTTCTTCTTCTTTTTCTTCTTCTTCATCTCATTCGCTTTTCTTTTTTTCTCCTTCTCCAGACGGAAAGCATGCTGTTTCTGCAGTTAATGGTTTTACTAGTGGTGTAGCTACACCCACAACAATCTTCCTTTTTAGCTCACCTTGACATCGTCAAGCTGAGCTATTGCCATGGGTCGTCGTCCGTCGTACGTCCGTCCGTCCGTCCGTCAACATTTCGCTACGGTCAACGATAACTCAGGAACCGTTTGACCCACATGTTTGAAATTGGGTATAGTTGTTACTGCTATGCTCCCATATTTAACGTTCTATTGTTGGGCACGCCACGTTGAGTACTTCTCGAGCCACTGGCCAATTTTTGGCAAATTGGGAATGCCATTAGTCAGTTTTCAAGGTTCTCAACGGATTTTTGCCCTCAATTTTTTGGTACCTGTGAATGAATAAAGGGCTAGGGCGTTTGATATTTTAAATAAAAATTTATTGCAAATTTTAGGTAGGATTGGCAATTATATAGCATATTATAATATGACACGCAGATAACAAACAGTCTGTGGCTGTCACACTCGTCTGGTTCTTTACAAGATTTCATACTGACAATATTTCTTAATGCCAAATTCCGCTATTGAAACATATTTATGATTTATACTATTATTATTATATTATTATTATTTTGATATTACATGCATTTATGGAGGTTATGCTAAGAAACATCAAAGCGGGTGTAGTGCCACTCTACCGTCACAAATGTGATTCGATTTTGTTTTATAATTATTTATAATTTATATATAATATTATTTATTATTTTCACGTAAAAAAATTACACATATAGATTATCAAGAGTATATAATGGAGTTCTCCCATTATATTACTCTTCGTTTCTATAATGTACGTCGATGGTTGCTCAATTAAAACTGACTTCTTCTCATTTGTGTCCTTTTTTGTGGTGAGCTACAGTATTATTGACACTTTCATTGTATTCAGGCCTTAGATTGGCCAGAGTCTTCTGAAAACCATATAGTGAATACAATGGTTGTTGGTGAGAGCTTCTTTTGATGTTTTTAAGGTGGCACGAGGCAGTGATGGTGACGCCAGTATTCCTCTGAGTAGCCGTCTTGCACCGGAGAAACCTCTCTCTCAGAGAGTTCCACAGCGAGGTGAGGCTAATGTAAACAGCAGAAATAGCTCTGGCACTATAACCTCCATCTATCCCCCATCGCTCCACATCGCTCCATCTAACGAGGAGCAATGGTGGCTGTAGTGCCAGTTGGAGTTAACCTCAATTATATCAGTCCATGATAGACGGACTGTCGCTTCCAAGTTCCTGATCACATATGTTCACGTTGAGATACGATAATCTCACGTCTCGCGTGTTGCAGGTGCAAGGTCAGGAGCAAGGTCGGCAGGGCGCGTCGCTGGTCCCGGCGGCGTCTCGGTAGAACCGCTGCTTTTCAGTGTGTCATCGGGCGGTTCCTCCCTGCAGGAGGTGTGGCGGCTCGTGGAGCGGGGAGAGAGTCCGTCGATCGTCACGCCCGCCGCCGCCGAGCAGCGAGCGACGCGTGCACAGTGTAAGCCTCGAGAAGTGTCGTCGACGTCGTCATGGTGTCTGTTGCGCAGCACTGTTGTCGGCAGCAGCAGTGGCAGCGTCCTCGTCATTAGCACGATGACGTCGTCCTCGTCATTGCGGTAGCGTCATTGTTGTGGGCAGAAGTGGCGTCATGTTCGCTTTCAAGCTTGCATCATCATCGTCGGTGACATCGTTGTCTTCGGCAGCCGCGGTGTAATCGTTGTTGTTTTTGCTGTTGCTGTTGTTGTTATTATTGTTGTTATTGTTGTTGTTATTGTTGTTGCTGTTGTTGTTGTGGTCAGTGTTGCCAGGGCTTTGGACCGGTTGACAGCTCACGTTGAACCAGTCTAGCAATGATCGAGATAAAGTTGTCAATGTCTGCATGTTGGCGAAGCATGTTTGCAAGAACGACATCGTGAGCTGAGAACTCGGCCATGGATTTTAACATGCTCTCTAATGCGTCATAACTGAGTTATTACTATTCACCATGAACAGCTCGAACTATGAGCAACGATAGCAGTATACGATTGGTTTGATAACTAAGATTTGTAATTTATATGGCCTGTATGGTTGTAGTGTGTGTGTGTGGTTGTTGGTTGTCTTATAGCAGCATTTTATTATTTTCCAGCTTGCCGTGATGTGCAGCATCAGGCGAATCTCAAAGTAAAAGGAAAGAAATCTGACCTAGTCACCAAATCTGCTCTCACAAAGAAAATTGGAAGCAAACAGAAATTAAGAAATTATAATATAAAAAGTGATGGGTGAAGTAAATGAAGGTAGAAAATATCTGTGTAAAATTGTCATCGTTCATTTGTCATAATTGCAAACTGTGTAATTAATTGTAGTTGTGTTAAAGTAAACTGTAAATCAATTCTGTATCTAAACGGTTATGACAAAATAAATAGATGCTGGTCATGTACAATTTGTTTTCTAGCACGTTTTACATTTTGATTTTTTTCGTATTTTTGCATTTTTTAGAATATGTGAGATTTAACTTCTAAATAAAACGCTCTCATTAAAAGTTAACCTGAAGCATATCATTATGCATACTTTAATAATTGAAATCGAAATATCACAAATAATTTTAACCTTGTCATAGAAGCATTGTTCAATCGAATGGTCTATGCGATAACCTTTTCATAGTTGTCTACTCTTGCCAATAGATGGCGCCATGATGGATACATTTATCTCCGTGTTGACAAACATGTGTATACGATTTTAGAAGATAATTTTTAATTGTTACATTATCACGAATTACTTTCTTAATGCAGATCAAATAACACATAAACATGGGTGCATTATTTGGAAAGTCAAAGAAGAAAGAGGAATCTAGGATAACGGAACAGGACAAGGCTGTTTTGGTAGTATGATATGTGTTCACAGTGTGTTGGGTAACAACAATGGTTCAAGGATAGAGAACATGGGTCCCAACAATGGCAGTTGCATTGATTCCTTAAATATTCCTTGAATATTGAATATTATTTCATATATATATATATATATGAAATTGAAATTTGAATTTGAATAACCCCCCTCAGTCAGTAGATGCCAAAACAGTGCTGGACCTCACAATCAAGCTCGATGTTCAAGATATTCATGCGTGCGATTTCTCAGCATTTTTTTGCTGTGCGTGAGATTTTGTAAGATCAGCGTGAGAGCGTGAAATTTGGCCAAAATGCGTGAGTCTCCCGGTCAATGCGTGAGAGTTGGCAGCCCTGTATCAATCTATCTACACATCTACACATGGCTCATCTACGACTGTGCGTTTCCTGTTCCTAGCAACTGAAGCAGCAGCGAGACAAGCTGAAGCAGTACCAGAAAAAGATCACTGTTCAGCTGGAAAAGGAACGACTGTTGGCAAAATCGCTGCTGAGCAGTGGCAAGAGAGAGTAAGCTAGGCGCAGCATAGTTAGTGAAGCTGAGAGGGTCTATGTCCCCCAGGGTACTGCCAGAACGTACCCTGGTACTATCTAATATGCCGGACCGTACCTCGCCTACTCCACTAACGAGTCTAGGGAGTCACCTACGCCTACTACCTAACCCTAACCCTAGCCGAACCCTAACCATATCAAATAGTTACCAGGGTACGTTCCGGTATACCGGAGCATACCCAGGGTACGTTCTGGCAGTACCCTGGGGGACATAGACCCTATGAGCGTTAGTGAGTTGTATAGACAAATTATAGTAGTCGGTGTTACAAGTCTTGATTGTGAATTTGTATGTAAGTTGTCGCTTATTGCAGTAAATGCTTTCGTCTTCACCAGCAATGCTATCTATGATGGCTAACCCAAATCGATACACACACACGCACGCACATACATATATATCATATATATCTGATATATCAGGATCGTAATTATCCGTAGTAAATAATCTTGAACTGAAATTTGATTCAATCTTGACCTTAATTTTTAATTTTAATTTTAAATTTTATATCTGAATTTTTTTTTATTCTTGAGGTTATTTACCCCTGTTATTTTTTTATTTTTTTCATTTTTTATTCTTGAGATTTTATACCCCTGTTATTATGGGGGTGGTGTCGGTTTGCTTGCAGAAAGGCGCTGCTACTGCTGAAGAAGAAACGATACCAGGAGAACCTGATGTCGAAGACGGACTCACAGATCGACAACATCGAGCGAATGGTGCGCATCCGTCACTGCTGATGAAATGTCTCTGACACAGATAAACAGTAGACCCCGACATAATTCTACGTTGCGAAATCCATTATTGTGGCACATATGAAGACCATGTAGAAAAATGTGTGAATCTGTGCATGTACTGTCTTTGTACATTCATGCATGTGTGTGTATGTGTGTGTGAGCATGGGTGTGCATGCGTGCGTACATGTGTGAGAGAATCTGTGTGTGTGTGTGTGTGTGTGTGTGTGCGTGAGTGCGTGAGTGAATACATACATATAGTGTATCTAGTTCTTCAGCTATTGATGGGTGTTATTGCAAACCATACTTGTTTCAGGTTCAAGATTTGGAGTTCGCACAGATAGAAGTGCAGGTAGTGGAAGGGCTGAAAACTGGCAATGACGCATTAAAGACGTTACATCGGGTAAAGTTCTAATTCTTACTGCCATCCACTGGGATGACATTTCATATATTCAGCACAACATCATTGCTTTTAGCGCTATATATAAACTAAGGCTTAAGGGGGGCTTATGTCGGGCTTGCGTGCTGACTCGACTGGAAGCAACTGGATTTCAAGCAACTGGAAGCGATCGGCAGCGACTAGTTGCCCACTGTTCTATTCTGAGCAACTAGTAGCGGCCAGTCGCAGGCAGTCGCGTCGCAGTCGACCGACTTAAGCACTGCAGTCACAGTGAATCGCAGCCAGTTGCTTCCAGTCGAGTCGGCTCGCAAGCCCGACATAAGCCCCCCTTTAGATACACAAGGAATTAAACATAACTCGTTACAAATATAATCATCTTGGAATGGGTTCAAATATCTAAAAGAAGTATAAATTTTCTAGCGTAAATTTGTACCTAATATGATGTATGTATATTCTAATATTTGTCACGCCGACAAATTTGTGAGTTATTACGTAATTGAAGGCAATAGAAACCTAATGTAAGTTTTTCATTGACAGTTGATGTCGCTAGAAGACGTTGAGAAGATCATGGACGAAGCACAGGAAGGCATTGAATACCAGAGGGTGCGTATTAAACAGAAGGGGACACTAAATGCTATGGAACACTACACACTGGGGGGCACTAAACATTTGGGAACAATAAACAGTAATGGATCTGTGACCACTAAGTGACTAAGCACTAGGTGACACTAAACACTAGAGTAGTTGTTACCAATAAGTGACACTGAACAGTATGGGCTACTGAGCATCAGGTGCTACCACGCACCAGAAGACAGTAAACATGAAGAGACATTAAACAGTGACTGCCAGGAAGCATCTGTAGTTAAGTGTGGTATCTCTCGCCCTGCACCCGTGGCAAATCATCGTTCACGCGTGCGTTTTGTATCTCTGGCACATTGCAGGAGATCGATGAGTTGCTGTCCGGTTCTCTCACGGCAGAGGACAACGACGCCGTCCTCGCCGAACTAGACCAGATCATACAGGTGAGTATGGCGCCATCTGCTGGAGGAATCGTGCTAATGTGTGATGTGTGCACTATGCAAACGTATCACTATGTTATCTTATATCTTCATACGATAACTATATTATAATTATTATTATTATTATTATCATTATCATCATCATTATACCGAGTAGAAACAGGTTGTGGTGCTAGCGATATTAAAATGAGGGTGGAGATTTTCCAGGCTTTAGAAGAGCAGACGTACAATCATCTCGTGTGCATAGGAATGACGACGTATTTAAAAACTTTGGGGAAAGTACATTTTAGTTGAAGTGTGCGTAGTGTCGTGCATATTTCGTACATGCAGCCGTGCACACGAACTCTAAGACTGTCATCGACGTTGCCGACATTGTTGTGTTTGACTGAAGCTCTCGGTAAGATTTTGAGCAGGGACGCTTCTGTGGTTAACACCGAATGGTTTCCCGTGTTTTAGGAGAGCTTGCCTGAGGCGGAGGAGCGTGAGGCGGATGAAGTGCCCCAGCTACCCGGGGTTCCAACGCAAGAGCCCGAACGTAAGCAAGCAGCCATGGTGGCGTACTGTTGGCATGTCGCGTACCTAGACGCTAACCCTCCAGTCTTCACCGTTGGCATCCCAACGAATTCCTGGTCTTTTCTGCTACTTAATGTCAGCATTTTTGATATGCAGCGAAGGACGACTAGGATGGTCATCTATTCCATCTTCTAATCTTGCCTACTGCATGTTGGTTTCAAACAAATGAGCTATCTACTTTGCCAGCATTGGCCTCTACATTGAATATTATAGAAAAGACTGTGTAATGATTTGTAGTACTGATTATCATCACTGTTGTTGAAGCTAGTTGATCATAGTACCAATTGTTTAATATCATTAAAAGACAGCTTTAAACATTGTGCAAGCAACGTGGTTGCCTGATAAGTAACAGGGCCGAAGCCTGCGGGGTGGGGGGGCATTTGCCCTCCTAGATCTGTAGATTTTGGAGCAAAATAAAAAAAATAAATTGTACTACTAAAAGAGAATTGTCGTAGTCAGAATGAAGGCTGTACATGTACTCAAAAGTGCCTCAAATACGATCTCCTGCGATCTACATTTTCAAAATTTTCCCCCAGACCCCCACCTGTTTCTCACCCCCTCCTTGAAATACTGGATCCGCCACTGCCCCCCTAGGAATTTGCTTAGCCTACGGCCCTGAGTAAAGAGAACGTTCGGTGCGCAAGCGTTCAATTCCCGTTACTCAGCGTAAATCCGAAATTCGTGTTGCAGGGAAGAAGATCAAGGAACACAGGAAGCAGCCCGAGCTGGTGGCAGCGTCGTGAGGCAGCTATGTGGGGAGGAGCAGGAGGAGAAGGAGGGACTCGTCACTCCTGTAATACAGTTATCAGGAGGGGGGCTGGATATGCACCACGTAGCGTCATACAGGGAAGAGCGTGGATGCAGACCGAGCGTGGGTTTACGCAGGGATGGTATGCGTGCATGCCTAATGACCACCAGTGCACATAGGTATCAGTCTGTGCACCTCTGATGCTTGACAAACATGCTCTGCGGCTTTACGTGCAGTTGTAGCTGACTTTCATGTTGCTTTGTAGTGGTTATACCCAAGGTGACCAACAAAACGTATGGATAGATTGGATAGATTGGATGAGTACTTAGCAACAGCATAAATAGTTATATCATAAGTCTAAAATGTCAACACTTTTCCACGACATTTCTCTCATAACGTTGAGAGATTTTAGACTCTATGATAGTCGTATGATGGTCCCTGGTCAGCAGTGGCTGTTGTAAGCAGTCGGTAAGTTTTGTGCATAACTTTCATAGCGACTCACTAAAGATGGCGACGTCGCGAAACGCTCATTGTGTTGGTATTTCACGCGTCACGAATATTGCTCTGCGAATTAACAGTTGGCAGGAGTGCTATCGGGCAACTCTTTGCCGTGTTTTTGTGTGCGTGCGCGTGCGCGTGTGCGTGCAGTGCATGTGTGCGTGCGGTGCATGTGTGTGTGCGTGCGTGCGTGCGTATCCCATGTATATATGTCCTCTGTAGGGGGGTTAGCGGTTTTTACAAACGCCACCACCACATCTATACGCACGCTTGAACACGTTAATTGTTATATGAATGATGTTGATTGTTAAAAAATCTGCAATTTGCCTAAAGACAGATGGGTTTGTAGGTTGGTGTGTGGTGCGATTGTCTTTGGTAGAATATATCAAATTTAGATGTCGCAGGAGTGATGTTCTTGTGTGTGCGTGTGTGCGTGTGCGTGCGTGCGTGTGCGCGGGTGTGTGTGTGCGTGTGCGTGTGTGCGTGTATGTGTGTGCGCGCGTGCGTGCGTGCGTGCGTGTTGGGATTCGTAAGGTTCGTTGGGAATCGTTCGCGCTCGGTGCTATTCATGTGATTACTGTAAAACTTAATTTCGTATTTATTGCGAGTGCGCTGCGACTGCCGCTGTGGCAGTGGGCGTGTTATGCTGTACGTGATCATCATTAAACCATCATTAAACTATTATATATATTCTTTACATCCGACTAGCGCGTTCTTTACATCCGACTAGTGCGTTCTTTACATCCGACTAGTGCGCCTATCTTTTCTTCACTCAAACGTGTCTGTCAAGTGCGTGTGTGCGCGCGCGCGCGTGTGCGTGTGCGTGTGTGCGTGTGCGTGTGCGTGTGTGTGCTCGTGTGTGCGTGTGTGTGAGTAATTGCGTGCGTTTGGGTATGCGTGTATGCTTGCGTTCGTGCACGCGTGCTTGAACGCTTCACGCGAAGAACGAGAAACGTTGACAGTCTGCAGTTACGTAGACGGTTACGTTTATTCGAGAAAAAAAAAACTACAAACAAAATGCGAAAAAAAATAACTTCGCGTCAACATCAGGGACTGCACACGCGCAAGCGACCACTTCCGGTTGCACACTCGCGTCCGCGCGCTACCAGGTCACGTCCACACGAACAAATCCCAACCTATTCCGCGCGGCGCGATGATAGAGGACGCTGGAAAGGCTGCGTGGCAAATGCCCTTCTAATCGCTTGCCCCGTAGGAACGATCTATAGATAGACAGGAAGGAAAGTCACTCATCCACGATAGCTCTGGAGTTACAAACACTCTACCGGTATCTGCGCCCAACTCTAACTGTATTCACCCATCTTTATCTGAATACGCCATCTCTCTACTAGGTCTACTCTTTTCTACCCACAGAGTTGCTCAATCCGTAGAGTAGGTCTACCCTTAGATCAGACCCATTCCAAAACTCAGTACATTTATAGACTTCGCTGGTTTCTTTACCGCATCTATTCCACGAATTTGACTGACCTTAGGTTCGATCATATCTGTAACTTTAACCAATTTCAAGACTTCCTTCCCTTGTCATCGTTAGAACTTAAACGCGCTGTCAACCTACAAAGACTCGGACCACCCATAGATGTTATTCACAAACTTGCTCTATCCCTAAACCTATTCCTTCCCTTAACTATACCTATTCCCGATCCTGGTGTATCCCTAGACTTTGAATATTCCTGGTCCTAGTCTATTCCTAGATTCGATCGTTATTTGAACCTACGATGTCTATAGTGTTTACCTATCCCCAGTTTACAGATAGAAGAGAGTAATACAATGCTTGCTGCTATTACAGTATTATCGCTCACACAATTTTCTCCCTCCCTCCCCCTTTCCCCTTCTCTCTGTGTCTGCCTGTCCATCCGTCCATCTGTCTGTCTGTCTGTCTGTCTGTCTGTCTATTTATCTCTCTCTTTTTCTGGCTGTTGCCCTACCCATCTCTTTCTTTCGGTGTATCTGCCTATGTCACTGTCTCCGTCTGTTTCTTTCTGTCTCTATGTCTGCCCCCCCCCTCTATACCTTCCTAACCCAATTCCGATCCCCTAATTTTAAAACCTTCATAACCAAATAACTTTAACTGGCGAACAATGAAATATTAACATCGAATTAATGCAACACACGCAAGCATGGCGCCAAGAAACGACCAACTAGAATGGAAGGCAGAGTAAGAGCATGCTAAGCCAGCTAATGCTAAGCGTTACAATAGAGTGGAATGTAACCTGTTGGTTAAATAACATTCCTATAATCGCGCTGACACCGCACTGCACACTGAATATAACTAGCAATATTCCGCTTAAAAGAGAACACGAATAACTGTCCGTTGCTAGAGTAATGCTAGAGGTAATAAGACGCCTTGCTATATACCGCTACTAAACAAAAGATCTCACGGGTGCATTCAACATGCACCAATCTTCTCCCTACCTCGTTCACTCCATTTACTTTTCTCTCTCTCTCTCTCGCTCTCTTTCTCTTTCTCTGTCTCTGTCTCTCTCTTTCTCTTTCTTTTTCATTTTTATCGCGCTCCCTCTAATTTTTCTTTCCCTCCTCTTCTGCTCTCGTTTCCCTCGAACTCACATTAAGCCCTACACTCCATAAACCAATGCTTCCACTCTTGCTTCCTCCACCTCTAGATCTCCCCCTCAACTCTCCTCACCACCTCCCTACCTTCACCACTTATAATTATGTTACTCATCTCGTTATATAACGTAGAAGCTCAAATATATGTCGCCGCCTTTTTCACGCGAATAAAAGGCTCTCTGCTCTCCCGCGTCACTGCTGCGTCGCTCTTGTTGCTTGCGCGCACACGCAATCTTCCGACGTTCCTAACTCCACCTATAAACACGCTCACACTGTAGCGTCGTCGGCCGTCGCCGACACGACTGGCGCAGATGTCGTCGCCAGGTTTTCTCGATAGGGGGCGCCCACCGGCGCGCTCGCCGCGTCCCCGATTGGTTGGCGGTTTCGGGCGCGGAGCGGTCGGAGGGTGGCGCCACCGGGTTTTCATGCAGCGAACTATAGCGCTTGACTTTAACGGCAAGGTTTTTACTCATGTACGTCGCGCACCGTAGAGCCTTGAGCGGGCGCGTAACTGTCCCCTCTCCCCCCGCGGCGCGTGCGTGCGTGCGTGCGTGCGTGCGTTAGTGAGAACCTGTCTCGGCCGTCACCGCGCCGCATCCCCCGCCCTGGCCTCTCGTCTGCATTGCATCTCGTCTGACGCAGCCTGTAACGAGTGCAGCCAAGGCCAGCCGAGATTTTTAGCCGAGAAGACTGGGCGTGAAGACCGATCTATACGTAATAACCGCATTACTGCGCATCCGCATTGAGTGAGGTCACGTCACTTGGCCGCCATATTGTTTGGCTCTAAACTCTAACGTCCCCAGGCCCGCAGCAGCAAAGGGGGGGGGGCAGCTCGCCTGCCGCCAAAAAAAGAACGAGTGACAGAACAATGGGATTTACAATTAGAAAATACTCCGCTACAACGTTTGGGGAGTTTAGTATGAACCTACCTGAAATGGCTGGAAATGGCATTTCAGCAGCTTCTATATTTCAAAATTTCCGGGGGAAGGCATGCCCACAGCTGCCTAGAACAAGCGCTCAGGCGCGTCATTCATCTTGGCATTAATTCCTAGCTACGGCCCTGCGTCCATACATCAACTGGGGTTATGAGGTCAATGGGGATAATGTGGATGTTAGACATTGTTTCAAGGCACAATAACAACAATATGGCGGCCGACAGAGCTCATCTGTTATGCCTAGCGCAAACGGGAGAATTTTCAACCAATTTTTGTCGCAAGCACGCACGTGCGCAGCTCTCCCCCCACCCACTCATCACGCGGCTTGCCCCGGCCGCGCGGCCGCTGTTTCAGCCGCGCTGTCCAAGGCTCGCCGTCGCACGCTCCGCGTGCGCGGGCCGTTTCGTCATCATCATCGCTCATGCATCGGCGTATCGCGTCGCCGCCGGCATTGCTGCTCTGCGGCAGCCTGCTGAATCTCGGCTGCCGGCGGGACGACGGACGATCGGCTGCCGTCATTATCAGCTGCTGCTGCTGCTGCTTCGTGAACCGCGTCGCTCAGTCCATTCCACACGATCACCACCGCTCCACAAAGGACGAGTCAACGGTGCTTTCTCTAGCAAGGGCGGGTACGCGCAGCCAAGGGCTGGGGTCAGGGCGAGGTCACACCATGCGTCCGCTCGTAGACAGCCGCATGATTCTCGATATTTCGTCGTCTTGATGACCAAAGTCGACCTCGTGCGAAGGACGGAGTCAGCCGTGAGTGAGCGAGTCACGCGGACGAATGGCTTGCCTGCCCGCCCACACTGACGCCAGACCACTGACCACTGCAACAACGTACTGCGTTCGTTGTTGTTAGGCGTCGGCTTTTAGTGTCACGTTCAAATAAATTATTCGTAATTGTTTTTGCTTATGGTAAATTATATTACTGAATTATTTGTCGTTAATTATTTCATTTTGATTCATATTTTGAAACAGCCGCAATAAATTTACCACGGGAGCGATCAGGGAAAAATTCTTTTTTTTCATGGGAGCTCTTTTCAAAAGTGCTGTGTCAAAAATGTTGGGAGCTATTTTGAGTCTCACGGGACGATTCGGAGGTTTTGAAGAGCTAAATCGCTCGATCGCTCCCGTGATTTTTACCCTGGACGATCGGCACCGACAGGCATGTCATCACATATTGTTAAGGTCCAACCCACGTAGGAGAATTCATCCCGTAAAAATAGTCGAATCACGAGTTAAAAAAATCGATGGCACGCGCCGTGAGCTGTACAAAGAACATCTCCCGTGCAAACATCTTAGCCATTAATTTGGCTCGCTCAATATATCATCATCATGAACTCTTCGTGACTCTACAAGTCCCTCCGTGACTCGCGACGATATTCATCGACGACTATCCAGCGAATATCGTATTCGTGATTTTAGTAACCTCGTATAGTCCGTACGACGACGCAAACGGACCCGATCGCTACATCACCGACGCTCCACATTGCACGTGCCGGCGCCCGCGTCGACATTTCAGACGGGCGCCGCCGTCAACAATTCAGACGGACACCGTCGTCACATTTAGATGGACACCTACCGTCGACACTTATGACGGGCGTCGTCGTCGACGTGACTTCGACGGACACCACCACCATCGACACTTAGACGGGCGCGGCGGCCGCGCGTCGCCGTCGGAGGCACGTACCTGCTCGCGCAACGTTGAGGCGGCCTGCGCGGCGATCCGGGTCACGCCCATTACTCATCTTGATGCGGCGGCACACGCCGATCGCGTACGATTCGCTCACCTGCAGGGCCTTGCCGCGTGCGGGGTCCGCGCCAACCGCCGCTCGCGCGATGTCGCCGCCGCCGCCGGCGCCGCCGTTTTTTTCTGGAATAAACGACAGTTAGCGGCGCCACGCTGGTGAGCGACAAGACGCTCGGAGACATCGAATCCGGCCACCGATCGTTGGCCCAAGAGAACTCGGTCGGTACCGAAACAATCACATGAATACAAATAATGTGTATTACAGATTGAAACGTAACGTTTAATATTTCATGTACGTGACCAAATGTCTGTATTCTATTATTTCATTGTTTATATATATATATATATATTACTAGTTGAATCCAGATAAAACAAGTTATATAAAGCTTTTGCAATTAAACCTGTTTATGACTTAATTGGTTAAATAATTAAGATCGTGTCTGACTGGATTTTTGCGAATAAGTTGAACCACGTGACCCTAACGGACCCCCCCACCCCTTTCCATATGTCACACGACATCTGTCCCAAACACAATCCCCCCTGCCATCACACTCACCTGCAGATTTGGGACCGGTGGGGCCACCTGGTGGTGTACTGCTGAAGAACATCTGAAGAGAGGTTGGCTTGACCGGCGACGGTTTCGAGTCCTTCGCATCAGCCTGCTTCAAGGGCAGCCTCATCGCTGTCAAATTTACACACGACACGTGTTAAAGGCGGCGTGCACACAAACTAGGCACATGTTAAAGCGAGGTACGCAGTGAAGCGTGTATTATAAAGGTGGGCGCACACACTGCGCAATTGTTAAAGGCGAGGTACGCAGTGAACGTGTTAAAGGTGGGGCACACACTGCGCATGTTAAAGGCGAGGTACGCAGTGAACGTGTAAAGGTGGGCACACACTGCGCATGTTAAAGGACAAAGAATGGGAAAAAAAAGGGCGATTTAATGTGAGCAACTGAAATTAACCCTAGTTGGCCACCTTGGATGGACACCGACTCGGACTACGGTAACCGCCTCTCTGTCCTGTGACCAGAGTTACGAGGTAGATGCGAACAGGTGGACGCATACGTGACGCGTACAGGTAAGTGCGTACCTGACAGGTGGGACACATACTGCAGCGGGATGGGAGCTGCTGACTTCGCTGGTGTCCCCGCTCGACTGCTGCGTGATCGGTGATGCAAATTCTACCAGTCCGTCGTAGATGCTGCGTAGACACACAATACGCTCCAGATATCACGATAGATAATATGTAAGTATGTATTTATGTAAATATATATATATATATATATATATATATAATTAAAACATATTAAATATTATTAAATATATTATAATTATATTATATTATTTATAATATTTATATATATTATAATATATAAACTATATTTATATAATATTAATATATATTATATTATTATTATTAATATTAAATATTATTACATGTAAAGATTAGAAACCACATATCCCATTACTACAGGAAAAACACTATAATTATAATTGATACTATGAAAAGCAAATGTGCGTGCGTGCCTGTTTGTGTGTGTGTGTGTGTGTGTGAGTGTTGTATGCCTGTTGTGTGCGTGTGCGTTGAAGTGCGTGCCGTGCGTCATATTTGCGGTGTAGTGTGTGCGTTCAAAATAAAGACAAAAGGCAGGAGAAAGGCAGCATCGTCGGGCTACTACAAACAGCCTTCTCCCGTATAAATCGCGCGCCCACTAACCGCGGATCTGCCTCAGGAGCGCCGCCACGTCGTCTGCCGTGCCGTTTCAGCTTGTTCTTCTGGGGCCATGATGTCTTGCAGCACTCGCTGAAGCCTCCGAGATCCACGGTAAAAGGAAGGCGAGGATGTACGGCGCGCCACGGCATGCTGCCGCCTCCCCGCGCAACCTCCCCCTTGCTGCTCCTCTTCATATGCAGAGAAGATACGGATGGTTCGTCACCGACGGCAACCGACACTCTCATCCTAACACAATACAATTTGCAGCCTCCCCTGCTGCTCTCCTCATACTGAGGGGAAGATCCGGATGTTCGTCACCATCGCAACCGACACTCTCATCCTACACCAATATAGTTTGCGGCCTCCCCCTGCTCTCTCTCTTCATACTATACTGGAGAGAAGATACGGATGGTTCGTCACCAGCGGCAACCGGCAGCGTCTCATCCTACACATATCAATTGCAGCCTCTCCCTGCTGCTCCTCTCATACTGAGGGAGAAATTACGGATGGTTCGTCACCAACGCAACCGACGACTCTCATCCTAACACAATATCAATTTGCAGCCTTCCACCCCGCTGCTCCTCGCTCATACTGAAGGAGAAGATACGAATGGTTTCTCACCACGCAACCGGCCAGCTCTCATCCTACCACAATTCAATTTGCAGCCTCCCCAGCTGCTCGGCTCCTCATCGAGGGAGAAGATACACGATGGTTCGTCACCAATGGCAACCGACACTCTCACCTCCACAATAATCAATTTGCAGCCATCCCCTGCTTGCTCGCTCTTCATACTGCAGGAGAAGATACGTTTGGTTTGTCCCCATGGCAACCGACACTCTCATCCTACTCATATCAATTGGAGCCTCCCCTGCCTGCTCCTCTCATACTGAGGAGAAGATACGGATGGTTCGTCAGCACGCAACCGACACTTCTCATGGCCTAACAATATCAATTTGCAGCCTCCCCCAGCTGCTCTCCTCATACTGAGGGAGAAGATACGGATGGTTTTCCGATGCAACCATACCCAAACTCCGACACTCTCATCTACTCAATATAATTGGCAGCCTCCCCCTGCTGCTCCTCCTCATACTGAGGGAGAAGATACGGATGGTTCGTCACCAACGGCAAACCGGCACTGCTTCATCTCAACACAATATCACTCTGCAGGCCGCCCGTCCCGATACTCCTCGCACTGCCGGAGAGGATGAGGATGCTTCGTCGCCACGGCAACCGACACCCTCGCACCCCATGCACGTAATACGGGTTGAAACGTAATAAAAGTACCGTAACATACAGTCAGCAGGCGCGTAGCAGGCGTGCGCCAGGCGCAGGGTGACGCCACTTCCTTGGCGCATGGTTTTGAGGATGCGACCGCACATACCGACATCAGCTTGTGTGGCGTCGCCAGCAGGTTGCGAGATCATCGTCATCGTGACCCGCGCACGGCCGTGCGCGGGCAAGCGCTCCAGCGCCCGCTCGCGCTCGGCCGCCGCCTCCGCCGCGCGTCGTCGCCGTGACGACGCACGCCAGCGCTGTCTGCACCCACTCGAGCATGACGGGCGCGGTGCCGCAGGGGCCTGACTCGACGAGCGACGCCTCCAGGGGGCTCACCGAGTCGCTGCAGTTGTCCTTGAGCACGTAGCTCTCCTGACATCTGGTGGCAGAGAATGGAAGCATTGTGAACAAACGAATCTGGTGACGAACGAAGTCAAAGTTTAAGACTTACTTGCTGATGAGGATTATGAGATAAGACTCATCTGTCGACAAGGTAAGACTTACCTGCTAATGATGTTTACAAGGTAAGACTCACTGTTAATAAGGTTGGACAAGTAGCGCTTACTGCTAATGATTGTTTACAAGGTAAGAACTTACCTGCTAATGATGTTTACAAGGTAAGACTTACCTGCTAATGAAGTCGACAAGGTAAGACTTACCTGCTAATGATGTTCACAAGGTAAGACTTACCTGTTAATAAGGTTGAACAAGGTACGGCTTACCTGCTAATGATGTTTACAAGGTAAGACTTACCTGCTAATGATGTTTACAAGGTAAGACTTACCTGCTAATGATGTTTACAAGGTAAGACTTACCTGCTAATGATGTTTACAAGGTAAGACTTACCTGTTAGTAAGTTTGACAAGGTAAGACTTACCTGCTAATGATGTTTACAAGGTAAGACTCACCTGTTAATGAGGTTGACAAGTAAGACTCACCTGTTAATAAGGTTGACAAGGTACGGCTTACCCTGTTGATGAGGACGACAAAGTTGCGGTCACCGTTGATGGCTTCAGGTGTGCGCGTGCGCAGCGCTTCACAGTGCAGTACAGAGTTGCACAGGTTGCTGATGTCCACAGCAATCTTACTCTCCACCTATGCATGCGAGATAGACACAGCATGTCAAACCCAACTATAAAGGTCATTCAAGGGTAAAGCCAAAGGTGTTCTTTGCAGACAGGTGTATATTTTATGGTGGTGATGGCTAACTATATAGATTAAAAATATCTTTTATATATATACATATATAAAAGATAAATATTAATATTAAAGATATTAAATAAATATTAATATTATCATTATTTATAATATATATCTAACAGGGATATAAAAATAATATATTATATACTTTAACTGCAAGCTTTCAAGACCTTGTGCCTCTTCATCAGACCACAAAAAAAATGTTGTCGTGCAAAAATGAATGAAGCCGCATTCTCTGGTGGCGCCACCTACCAGCAGGAAGTCGGTGCGATCGCGCGATGCCTGTTCGAACTTGTCGAGCGTGGCCTGCAGCGATTGGTTGGCGCCGGCGGCCCAGCGTAGTCGCTGGCTGATGCTTGCCTCCTGCTGCGCGTATTTCTCCTGCACACCCGCGATTGCTGGCTCCAGTGTGAGCACGACCTGCACGCCTGCTCCCCATGACACACAGAGAGAGACAGAGAGAGACAGAGAAAGAGAAACACGAGTGTGTGAGAGAGGAAGTGTTGACATTTAACGTGAGCTGTGGACCGTTGTGAGCCGGTACTCGAGTATCCACGAATTGGAGTGCCAGTACATGAGAGTGTGTTCAGAAACATTTTTCATGTTCTGCCAGGTTCTCGCAATGTTTAGCAAGCTGGCCAAAAAAATTGTGGATTTTCGTAGTTGCGCATTCCCAGGAGTATCTGAAGTGTGGTTTATCAGAGCTAACGAAAACAACCATTTTATGGCTGCTTGGATTTCTACGGCAGATATCTCCAACGTTCAGCAAAAACGAAAAAGCAGCATATTCTATCGCTGCATTTCTGACGAAGTCTTGAAGTCGTTCATCAAAGTTGACGAAACGACAACTGTCATAGCATTAAGCTAGCGCAGACTTGCGATTTTCAGCAACTCGGCTGCCGATTCTAGCCAATCGCAAGTCGAAATTGCTTGAAATCCCCTATGCTCTGCGGAACGTGCAACTACCAACTGTAGGCGATCTGGTCGCTTGCACGAAGTTAAGCGAAATCAACTGATTTGACTTTTTCAGCATCGTCTCTCCAACGTCCGAAATCGCTTTGAATGCCATGCGTGTGGTAGACAGCAGACTTGCATGAGCAACACACGGTGAAGCGTGCGACGATTCGCATGCGGGCAGCGACGAGCAACCAAAAAGTCGCAAGTCTGGCAAGGGTAGCATGGGTCACGTGGATAACAACAGTCTCACATTGCGCATGTCTGACTGACGGTCCTCTAGAGCGACTGGGCGTGGTATTCAGTGGCCGCCGTGAGCCTTGCGTCAAACGAGTCCTGTGAAGCCACTGGCAATGGTCCGTCAGTGCATCTCGCCGTTGCCTCGAACGACTGCAGCAGCACTCGATACTCGTTCCGGCCTCCTTGCGCGAGAGACGGCGGCGTTA